GGCCGGCCGGAGAGGCAACGAAGCGCGCAGCCTTCTGGAAGAGCCAAGGGTCAGCTGAAAATACAGCCCTTGGGGCAACCCTCAGGGTATTCACCTGCATTTGAGAATGTGTCAAAACTCTAGACTCCAGTTGCTTGGTTCAGATGTCACCATTCCAAACCATCCCCAAACGGTCCCTTTGACACCATCTCTCAAGAATAATGGGCAATTCGGGAAGACATAGCCTGGATCTCGCTCCGCACCGAGACATTCCGCCGGACTTGGCATGGCGACCTCGATGTTCAACCTCGCGACCTTTGAGAAGTTTTGAATCAGAGGGTTGTCGCCTTTGCTGTAGCGTTTTCCGCCGTCCGGACATCAGCAGGACGTGACCCGGTGTCTTTGCAGCTTTCGGATTCGCACCAACCGCTGTAAGCGGTGAACAGGTGCTGGTGAATTCGCCCGGTTTCTTGTGCGTGGCCTTGCTGGAATTGATATTGTTTTTTTTTGTGCGCGCGGGTCAGAATTAATCTGGATACGCAGTCCTTTGTAGCCTTGGAGTGAATTTTGCTAATCCGTTTCTGGTGTGTGGCTTCTTTTGGGAGCCCTCCCATGCCGTGGAGTTGGTCCAGTGACCAGTTGAGGGTCCCAGCTTGATCGGATTCATTCTCTTGGCTGGGATTCTTGGAGGCCCTTGATCAAAGAACTACTTGGGCGCGTCTTGAAAAATCCCGCAGCTCGCCCAGCAAAGCAAAGTCGAAAGCCATTGGTTTTGCATTAGACCAGCCGCAAAAAGGGTCCAAGAAACGACATGCGTGTTTGAAGGTGTTGAAAAGGAGAAAGGCCACGCCTCAAATCTGTTCCTCCGGATTTGTGTTGTAATCAGGGTGTTGTAAAAATGGGTGCTTCAACTTTGAAGGTGTTTGAAGGTGTTGTACTCGGGGTTTGTTCCGCCAGATTTTTCCCTATTCGAATAGGACGCACCGGCTGCTCGCAGCCCCCGGGCCGCCGGGGACTACACGGGCCGGTGCGGTCCCAAGCACGCGGGGATGGGGGTGGGTCGGGGGCCCGCGGGGGGTGGGGGGGGGGGATTTGCAGTTCACAGAACCCAGTCACCGTCACTTTGAGCCTTGCACTCTTTTTGTTGTAACTTCGGATGAATCTGAACCCAGCTCGCCCAACTCGGTTCATTTGGGAAACGTACGGTCCAGATAAATCCGAGGTCAACATTGCCCTTGTTCCAATCATGGAAGGGGGTGTGGGGGCTTTGTCGCGAGGTCTTCCAGGTCTTCCAACACTCGATCGCCGGCCTCCATGATTGTTTGAATGGTGACGCAGTCATGGACTGTCACTCTCAGAGAAGTTTTGGCGGGGGGCCACGCTTTGGGGTTCCAAAACGGGCAGTAAAAGACAAAAGGCAACCCAACAACCAACAGCACCAAAAAGGCAAAACGAGCCAGCAGAAATCCATCCTTATCAGCTTGATGATCGCTTGATGTGGCAAGAAGATCAGCCACAGCTGTATTAAATTCTGAACCGAGCAGCGATCACAGTTTTTCGAATGACTGTTGCAAGTTGGTGTGAAGGTGAAGGGACTAGGAACCACTCTGCGGGGCTCTGAACCATTCAGCGGCTCCAATTTTGAGATCTCGGTTCCTGGCTCGAAGCCGGAAGTGCTGCTTCGGTTGGGTAAGCCGACAGCCTGAACTTCGGAGCGCCCGGCTGACACGCATTCCACGGGGCGGATCTCACAAAATTTTGGATTCCCGCGCCATAGAATTCAACTCATGGATTCCAAAATTTGAGGCCACACCTGGATGAGGACACACAAACACACAGAGACACAGACACACACGAGTTCCTGAAGCGAGTAAGACGTCATCTTCATTTGTTTCATTGATTATTGGTGCAACACCAAAAAGAAAGGTTCTGCTGTAGCCTCAATTGAATCTGCATGTTGCATTGGTTGACAGCCAGGGTTTACCTCTCCTCCCCCTCCCGTTTTGGTGGACAGGCGTCAACGGGACGCCCTGCAAGGCTTTTAGCTCCCTGCAAGAGTTCAGTGCTTCTTGAGGGTCTTCAATTTGGCTCCATGGACAACTTCCAGCGGATCCCAGGGTTTCATCCGCAGGGTGGTTCCAGGTCGCACGGCCAACGGTTCCAGGTCGCCGAGCCGCAACTGGAAGGTGTCGGAGGACTGGATGTCGTTGGGCGGCCCAGTGAGGCATTCGGAGCGTTCGGCCTCCGATTTGTGTCCTGTTTTGGTCAGCTCAAAACAGTTGTGCTTTGAAGAGTCCTTGTCTTGTTGTCTTCCTTTGAAGCGCCCTCTTTCTAGTTTTATCCGCTTTGAAACCGAAGCGGGTACCCCTTGAAGGCCGAAGCGCGTCCTGAGTACCGCCCGGCAAGGTGTTCTAAGTAGACTTACTCTTGGGAGTATCCACATATGGTCCAGCAATTGGGTATGTGTACAAAATGGAGAACACCCCAAAAAAGGTTGGTTTCCCTTTGGTGTCCCTTTACACCACTCCGAACAGGGTACCCTTCAACAAAAACACACCTGGTTCAAGGGGTGACCGACCATCCAAGGGTGAAACTGGTACTTCTTGTTTGACATAACAGTGAGCAACTGGTGATTCCAAACAAACAACACCGGGTGCCATCCAGCTCCTGCTTTTTCAATTCACACCGTTGAATTTGTGTTCTTGGGGGCCTGGTGTTTTTGTTCGCATTCACGGGAATTCAACCAACAACACTGGAGCCCCAAAACATAAATGGGAAGTGCCCGGAAGTGATGGCGGAATTGGCAGAAATCCAGCACTGACGTCGAATTCTTGACGTCTTGTAAGTTTCTCCCAGGTCTCGCCAGTATGAACAGAGTGGTGGTTTGTTTGAGGATAAACTTTGTGGGGTTGGTTTTAAAGGGAAACTCAGGGGAGAGCCACATTTTTGGGGTGGCCCCGATTTTGACCAGCCATACATATTTGATTCTCAACTTCCTGAATGGTACCGCCACAGCGCGCAAATTTCTTTCACGCCCGGCGTCCATTTTGCAGTGTATCCCTTCGCCTATCGATAGGCGGTTTGTTTCGTCGGACGTTTTTTCCTTTCGAAATAATCATAGACTCCTGCAAGGGGACAACGTGCAGGTGACTTGTTGGGTCTTTAGGACCCGGAAGTCACCAAAAAGACAGCCAAGGCTTAGCAGCCCGAACTGCGGTCTGCCAGCTGGGTTTCCCAAATTTCTCCCCCCCCCCCCCCCGCCCCCCTTTCCTTTTTTTTTTCTTGGGGGGGGTTTTTGCGGACGAGAGGCGCCACGTGGTTGGCCCGTTCCGTCCGGGAGGTACTCCACGGCGCCGGAGCCCAACTCTCCCCGGATGCCGGGGGCTCAGCGTCGGGCCAGTGGTTCGGACATCTCGTCTTTTTATTTGAACCCGCACGTGAAAACGCTCAGTGAGCTACAGAAACCTTCTCTTTTTTGTTGCATGGATGTGACGGTATATTTTGACTGTGGCTCATTCGAAGATATTCCTCCTCACGGTAAAGTTCCACCTAGAGGAAGCTACACAGACATGAAATGGTCGTCAGGTTGGGCGTTTCTGGCAGATGCGATGTGCAGAAACGGGCCTCCATGGAAATTTCGCCGGCACCACACCCCGTACGCAATGCCGGCGTGGCTGTTGCAGCTGATGCTGGTGGAGCTGATGGTGGTAATTTTGGACCTTGGCCCTTGCTTGGGGTGATCGGTTGTCGGAATGGCTTTTTGAGGTGATATTGCTGGTCATGCCAGTGAGTGGCATCGTGCTTCTTTCTGTTTCTGGTTGGCTGCTGATTCGCTGAAACTCTGTCAAACCTCGGCGTGCCCATCCACTGGATGAAGGACAGTGGCAGGGGGTTCCAGTTGCGGAGAGATTTGCGTATGTACGTGCTGCACTGAGCACTGGCAAGCTAGTTTTTCATGCTTTTTGTTTACAGGTTCACTCAAATACTCAGATAGCCGCTTTTTTGAACTTTTCATCTCTCGTGTTGCCCAGACTGTTAGGCATGTCACTTCTCCCAAATCCCCCCATTTGTCATGGCTGCACTTACCGGCGTCTCAAAAGTAGGAACAACTTGGATCTTGCAGTCGCGCGGTGTGCCTTTGGGGCCTTGACACTTTCCTAAATGGAACCTCAGGTGTGGAATTCGGCGACTCCATAGTGGCCAAGCGCCCAGAGCCGGGCGACGAACGCGCACGATTCTTGCTGCGAGAGATGCAGGGAATGAGACATGGGAATGACCTGGATTTAAACCATTCCTGTGGTTTCCTTTGCGGGAATCCCTGGGTTCATTCCCACATTCCCTGAGCACACGCAAGTGTTGGGCTCGGTCTGAACTCTGTGATAGTATGCTCCACACATTGCTGGCACACATGTGCAGACAACCGCTTTTTCGGGCAAGGAAAGTTGAGAATATGGGCACAACATTTGGGCATTGAGTTGGCCGTGTCTTTAAATTGGAGAACCACCAAAAATGGCTGGTTTTCTCATTTGTTTCCCTTTAAAAACAACCCAAAAAGCCAGAATCCCCCCCTCCCCCCCACAGTTGTAGACCTGGGAACTGGCCCAGAAAACGGGGGGCATTTCTCCTAGGCTGCCTGGCTTGGTCTGGATTCGTGTTGAGCAGCCGGCACACCAACTATTAATCCTGTCGTGTCTGGAGATGAGGGGACTCCGACCTTCAGTTATCCACGCCGATTTCCCCGTGCCTTGGTTGCTCAGGACTTTCCGGCTCCTCAAAATGAGTTGTTGATGGGTGATGCGGTTCAAGCAGAGCGCTCCCGGTTCCTGCCATATATCCTCCGCCCTCTGGGTGAGTGAGGAGTTCGATCACACTATTCCGTGCCACCAAGAAGGTCCCAAGGTCATGTGCCTTATGATGGCACACTTGTTCCGGGGTGTGTTTGACGACACAGAGGAAGGCAAGCATTTGCAGAGTCACATGCGACCATCTGGAACCAAACGAGAAAGCCACGTGGCTAGGCAAGATCACGCGGAACTCTGAGAACTGGCCCGGGCCACGACCGAAATGGGGCAGGGGGGGGGGTGTTGGGGTGGGAGCTGCTCAGCTCCCAGCCAGGAAAGGGGGTTTTGGCTTTGGAGTGCTTTCAAAAACCAAAAAACAAAAGCCATGGTTTTTTGGCCTTCACAGGTGTTTCCCGATCATGCGCGATTGCGGTCTCGAAATGCGTGTAAAGAGGTGTAACTGCAGATTTGTTTCGCGCTGTTCGCACAGAAAATGAGGGAGGGATGGCCGGCGGGGCCTTGTTCAGCTGCGCATCTTGCCGCTTTCATGCTGGGGAGAGAGATTGTAGTGATGTGACAGCATCCCAGGATGAACATCACTGTGCCAAGTTTGCAAACCATGGTTGAACAAGGTGCAACGCATGCGTCCTGAGAAAAAATAGCACCCCGGTTGTGGGGCACACGGTGATTTCCGAATAGAAACAAAGAACAAGAATCAGTCCGTGGGGGTTTGGTGGTTTGTTGGAGTACCTTCTCTTGCGATGCCCTCACGTCATCTGTTGCAAGTCTCCGGTGTGAAGCATGCTAATCCTGGACTTTAAATTGCCTCAGTTAAGTTTTCACACTCGCAGTGCAAACTCTGGCCTCACTCTGATCCAGGAGAGATCTCATCCCTCAAAGTCAACATAGAAGCATTGACAACAGGGCTCCTTAAAAGATACATTTTTCCCATTTGAAACATGGCTTTTTCTGCCAAAATAAAGGGAAGAAACCACCATTTACAAGGCAATGATCAGGTGAATAATGTAAGGATCCCTGATTGAAATCGAAGAAATCGAAAAGCGACTCGCCCCCGAACTTCACCAAGGGCGCATGGATGTAGCAGAGGGTTGGAAGTCGCCTTGCTGACACGGCATTTCACGAAAGGTAGCCCTTTGGTGGCCACCTTGAGTGCTTCCTTACGTTAGCCTGGGGGCGGGAGGTCCCGGACAAACCCTGGATTTTTCTCATTGACCCGCCAAACCAGGGATTCGACTGGCCCCTGGTCTTCCCCTCCCCCTCTCATTCGCTGCTTTGCTCATCTCTCCGTCTCAATGATGTTCCAGTAGTGTGTTGGCGGCGTCTCGGTGGTGTCCCAGCCGTGTACCTGTTGGTTTTATGGTGTCCGCTAGTGTTCCGCTTTTGTTTTGATGGCGTTTCGGGGGTCCCGCTGGTGTTCCATTTGTGCTTTGGCAGTGCTCCGGTGGAGTGCCGGTTGTGTTTGTCCTTGTGGCCTTTTTTGGTGGTGTCCCTTCGAATGGTAGATCTTCCCTCCGAATTTCTTGACTTCCAAAGTTGTGAATAATGCGATATTGGCCGTGTCATGGTTGGATCTTCCCATTGTTAGGCTTCATCCCCAACTCCAACCGCTTTATTCCCTTATACGCTTCAAGTTCATTTTGAACTTTCACACTTCCTACCAGCATTCTGGCTCAATACAAGGGGATCCTTGGCAATTATTTTTTTGGGGTTCGCGCTACATGTCAGGTTAATCGCAATTCTTGCGATGCTACAGCTTCCCTCTACATCTACTGGCCTTCAACGTTTGGAAGTTTGCATGTTTGTTGAAAACAGTTGTTGTTGGATGGTGGCATGTTTCAGCTTCTTGCCCACCCCCACTTATATGCTTGTTATGCTTTAATTGTGTTTGCACCTTTCATGCTTCCTGCCCACATTCTGGCTGAATGCAAGGCGGTCTTTTGGTGGTGTCTCGGTGGTCTTGTTCTCGTGGCATCCCAGTTATGTTGGTGGTGTCCCTGTTGTGTGTTTGATAGTGTTTCGGCGCTATTTTTGGTGTTGTGGTGTCCCGACTGTGCTTTGGTGGTGTGCCGGTGGTGTGTTGGTTGTGTTTGCGTTTTGATACTGCTTTCACTGGTCTCAATGGTGTTCCAGTAGTGTTTTGGTGGTGTCCCCGTGGTGATTCAGCCGTGTGGTTTTGTGGTGTCTGGTAGGGTTCCGCTGTTGCTTTTGATGGCGTCCCGAGTGAGCCACTGGTGTTCCAGTAGTGTTTTGATGGTGTCGCGCTGGCGTTCCAATTTGTGCTGTGGTGGGGCTCCGGTGGAGTGCCACTCCCGATATTGGGATGTGGAAGGCCGCTCGCGCCTGAGGTTGAGGGTGAATGGCGAGGACAGTTTTGCTGGCTTGGCACACAGGCCAATGGCTCTCTCTCTCTCTCTCTCTCTCTCTCTCTCTCTCTCTCTCTCTCTCTCTCTCTCTCTCTCTCTCTCTTTCTCTCTCTCTTTGTGCGTGTCAACAGGGTTCCTTTGGAGAGAAGCTAGCAACGGGACATCTGCCGTGTTGCAGGGGTCCCTAATTGTTCCTCTTGTTTGGACCTCCAAAAGTGGCAGTTTTGTTGAAGCCCACCAGCAAACTGCAGCTTCGGAGGAGAAATCCAGTGACGCCTGTGTTGAAAGATCCTTGATTTTGGCATCACGGCGCTTCGAGTCGGACCAGGGAAGGTGTTGCTTCGATTTTTTAGCAAAGGCTGATGGCCATGGTTGGCATTACCGGCAAAGGTGTGGGTCGTTTGTGCACTTGCTTTTTCTTCCTCGCCTCCTGTCCCCCCCCCTGCTCCCTTGCCCTTCGCCACAGTTTGAGTCGGCGTCTAAAGTGTTGCATAAAAGACGGTTGTGGAAATTGGGATTCAGTGTTAACGCACCTGTGTGTGCAGCTGCGCGAACCAGCAGGCACACAATCAAACACGCATAGCACACACAGCACACACGCAGCACACACACACACACAGCACACACACAGCACACACACACACAGCACACACAGCACACACACAGCACACACAGCACACACAGCACACACAGCACACACACAGCACACACACAGCACACACAGCACACACACACATACCCAGCACAGCACGCACACTCAGCACACACAGCACACACAGCACACACACACAGCACACACAGCACACACACACACACCCTGCAGACACACACACACACACACACACAGCACACACACAGCACACACAGCACACACAGCACACACAGCACACACAGCACACACAGCACACACAGCACGCACAGCACACACAGCACACACAGCACACACAGCACACACAGCACACACAGCACACACAGCACGCACAGCACACACAGCACACACAGCACACACAGCACACACAGCACACACAGCACACACAGCACACACAGCGCACACAGCACACACAGCACACACAGCACACACAGCACACACAGCACACACAGCACACACAGCACACACAGCACACACAGCACACACAGCACACACAGCACACACAGCACACACAGCACACACAGCACACACACACATACCCAGCACAGCACAGCACAGCACAGCACAGCACAGCACAGCACAGCACCAAGCCCAAGCCCAAGCCCAAGCCCAAGCCCAAGCCCAAGCCCAAGCCCAAGCCCAAGCCAAAGCCCAAGCCCAAGCCCAAGCCCAAGCCCAAGCCCAAGCCCAAGCCCAAGCCAAGCCCAAGCCCAAGCCCAAGCCCAAGCCCAAGCCCAAGCCCAAGCCCAAGCCCAAGCCCAGCCCAGCCCAGCCCCCCAGCCCAGCCCAGCCCAGCCCAGCCCAGCCGGCACGGCACGGCACGGCGCGGCACGGCGCGGCGCGGCACGGCACGGCACGGCACGGCACGGCACGGCACGGCACGGCACGGCACGGCACGGCACGGCACAGCACAGCACAGCACAGCACATGCACGCCCGCGCGCATTCGCGCACACATGCACCCACTCCTGCGCGCGAGAACACATTGAATCCAGTGCACTTGCGACGCAATGCTGAAAGCCTGATCGTTTTTGGTTCATGACTTCGTATAGTACATCGGCAACAGAGACTAAGTGTCCTTCACAAGACACCAAGAGGCTGTTGCCAGCGTGTTGGGTAAGCTGCGCAGAAAAATGGCCATGGTGGGGTCTGAGCTCATTTGAACTACTCCGTTTCCAAGTGTCATTTGAAGACAGTCACGGGGGTCCCCCACAAGTAAAGTCATCCCTGGGATCGTTCCACACCGCAAGATCCTGTCGGATCCAAATCCGCGAATCCGCGAATCCGCGAATCCGCGAAATGATTGGCTCTCGCAGGATTCGCAGCCCGCAGCGCCGATGATTTACAACAGCCCGGGGCCAAAACTGGGCCACTGGGCCCGAGGGTTTGTCTCACGGAAGCCCCGAAACGGTTTGTTGGTTGGTGCCCTCCTTTCGATCTAATCAAAACCCGGGTATTTGGAGGAGTTCTTTGACCATAAGACCAGGCTTTTTGTGTGAGTCATTTGGAGTAGAGGAACGTCATCGCCGAGCAAGCCATCTTGCTGGCTTTGCGGAGCCCGTTTCCCAGAAAGCTTTCCCAGGCTTCCCTAGATTTCGCCTGGTTCTAAAACCATCACCTGTTGGTTGCCAACTTGAGATTCCTGTTGGGGTGCCATTTTTTAGCAGTTAGAAGGGAGCCCCTGTCTCTCAGGTTTCATGAACCTATGTGAGTTGTTCGGCCCAGGCGAGAACTTCTTGGGCTCCAAGGGCAAGAGGACAGGACTGCACAAGGCAGGAGGACTCGGGGGCCGAAGCGAGCGGGGCGCGTGGAAGACCTGCGGCGGAGCTTTTTTACATTTTCCCCGCCGAAAACAAAAGGGGCACACTCTTGGGGGTGTCGGTCGCAAGGTTGGCGACTGAGCTACTTTTGCGCAAAGAAGCGTTGGGCAGGGGTGGGGATGGACCGAAAAGCCGGGTAGAAATGTGTCGGTGATAGATTGCGCATTGGTTATTTGTATTTGTCTATCTTGTGTGTTCAATACAATCTCTTCTATTTTGTTTGATGTAGTTTCTGAAATAATCGGAAGTCATGTGCTTAGTAACCTTACAATTCTTCGACAAGTCTTTGCTTTCAAGAGTTCAATGTGGGCCGTCTCTAAAGCTTATTGCTTTGGCTCAATTCCCGGAGTTATGAGCACGGTTCCTCCCTGCCCTTCCTTCATTTGCTTTCAGTTCCCTTCATTTGCAGTTTTCCCTTAATTCCCTTTAGTTCCCGTGATTTCAACCTCACTTCCTTTTCACGTCAGTTTTCTGCTCTTCCTTGCATTCATTTCCCTGCATGCCCCCCGTGACTTCCCTTCATTTCTCTTCAGTTTCTCTTGGTTTCCAGTCAATGTCTCTTCGTTCCGTCAGTTTTCCTTCATTTCCCTCCAGTTCCTTTCATGTTCTGCCATGTCCCTGCATTTCCCTTCATTTCTATCAAGTTCGCCTCCATTCACTCATTTTTCCCTTCACGTCCCCAACAGTTTCGGTGCATCATCCGCGTCATCCATGATGATGCTGGCAATGCTGGGGGTGTTGTCCAGTAGACTCCGCGGGGAGATGCCACACAAATCCTTGAAAGTCGCACAAAAATCCTCGAAAATCGCCTGAACAAATCCGCAAACCCTTCGCCCCTTGTTGGGGCGGGCACAGCGCAAAACGTATGCGCATGGTCCTCGCATGGTCCTCGCATGGTCCTCGCCATGGTCCTCGCATGGTCCTCGCATGGTCCTCGCACGGTCCTCGCATGGTCGGTGGTATGGGGCGGACGGCCTACCATGCTCCGGGATGGGCCCGGTCACGTCCGGTGGCCGGATTCAAGGGCTGCCGCCCTGTGCCGCCTGACAACGCATTGTTTGTCGGGTTTAACGGATATGACGAAGAAGAGCACTACGATAATGATGATGCTTTTGATGATGCAAACTATTACCCAACATTAGGGATGCCGATAATCAGTACTATGCGTTCGCATTCTCGCCAGCACTTATGTTGATAATCGTTACTTTGCATTTTTAGCATCACTAGCAGTTCTTATGACAATTATGCCGACGCATTCCCTGCATCTCAAAAAAACTACTGCAGGATTAATTCGCATAAGAATGAGCACCTTGTTGGATATGACCAGAAGTGCCCACGGTGTGTGGAAACTCGGGCAGGAAAACCATGTTGGGGGCACTTTTTTAGTTCGCAAGACTTCGTTGTATTGCTGTGGATGCAATGCGTGGACTTTGTGTCATCGCTTCGTGTTCGCGAGAAGTAAGCCGTTAGGAACACCTCGGGATGCAATCAGATGGTGATGATGATGATGAACTATGCGCTCCCGGCATCACCAGAACTTATGATGATACTCATGACTACGCATCCCCTGCGTCTCAAGTCAGGTGTAACGGCATACTTGAAACATACACGCAAAAAAAGAACGCCGCGGGTCATGATGATGATGATGATTACGCATCCTCAGCATCACCAGCAGTTACTGTGACAACATCCTGATGATAACCCTCACCATGCATCCCCAGTATCGGCAGCAGTTAGCGTGACAATCATGACTACGCAGCCTCTGCATTTCCAATCAGCTCTAGCGGCACACTTGAAACGTATATGAAAGAGAAGATGATGCAAATCATCACCCAAACATCTATGCATCCGCAGCATCAGCAGCAGCTATTATGACAATATTGGCTACGCAGCCTCTGCGTTTCAAGTCGGGTCTAACGGCACACTTGAACCGCATTTGAAAAAGAAGAGCGCCACGACAATTATGATGCTGATGATGCAAATCATCACCCGACATTAGTGATGCTGATCATCATCCTTATGCATCCGCAGCATTGCCAGCAGTCATGATGACTATCAGGTCATGATGATGGTGATGAGGATGATGAGGATGATGATGATGATGATGATGATGATCAGGATCATGATGACCATGATGACCATGATGATGATGATGATGATGATGATGATGATGATCCTGATCTTCACTGCATGATGAGCAGCAGTTATCATAACAATCATGACTACGCATGATGCATTCCAAGTCGGGTCTAACGGCACACTTGAAACATGTTTGAAAAGGAAGAGCGCCACGGCAATGATGATGATCCGGATGCTGCGAACCATCACCCAATATCAGTGGTGATGATAATCATCACTAAGACAAGGACGACGACAAACCCTTCCCATGCGCCTCCCCTTTGGACAAAGTCGGCGGACATTTCTTTTCTCCTTTCTAGTCTGCCCCATTTTCCCAAAAATCCATGATCAAAGGGACGCACGATGGGAGAGGCTCTTCGGTCAATGTGACAGATTGCTCTGGAGTTCCCTCCACTGCACGTGTCTGCGGGTTTCACAGAAGCGCTGGTGGGTCTTTGAAGAAAGTCAGCATGACAAAGCTTCCTTCAAACAAGCGGCGTGCCGAAGCCCTGATGTGGTTTCATTCCCCCTTTACCTGCTACATACCTGTCTGTTTTTTCTTCGTGAGCGAAAAGAAAAGACCATGCTCATCTTTTTTGCAGTGCTACCAACCTGCGCTTCTAGCAGCCTTCATCGCAAGGCTGTGTTTTGCCAGCCCAACCTGTCGACGCGAGTCTTCGCTTCATACCAAACCGAAGAAGGACATGGGAGTTTCTCAAAATTCAATTCCGACCCCCCATGGTCATTGGTCAAGGGAAACAAAAAGGAAGCCTAATATGTAGTAACCCCGGATTACGCAGACCCCCTGGTTGATTTGTCATGGCCTTGCACAGGACGCCTCATAAGCCTTCGCTTTTTCAGGCGGATTTTAAGACCGACCCTTCGGAGAATGGCCAGGATCTGGATGTCGCCAAGCACCTGATGCGATTCGAAGCAGACAGGCACTCCCGCATGAATCGCGGTGCTTTGGAGTCCGCATTTGCTGACGAAAGCAAGAAGACCCTACCAAGCCACTTGGCATTCTTTCCCTGTTTTGCTGATGTTTCTCAAACTTAGCCTTGGCGCTGACTTCTTTTTTGTTTCCCGGCCGAAAGGCTGCTTTGGGATTTCCGGTGGGTCATGCCTGCCGGTTACGCATCGAAACCTGTTTTTCTCTTTTCTGAGCGCAACAAAAAACAACATGAACCCTTTGGCCACCATTTTACTCAGTCTTTCCTTGGCCACTGCTCTTAGCCTTGGGGCCTTCGAGACGGGGGAGAACCCTCACGCTGTCAGGTCTTTTGGAGTCAGGCAAACACCCCCAAAATTCGGGCAAAAGCGCCTTCATGAGGCCACCTTGAATGTGAACTGGAACGCATGGGAGCCTCCCGACCTCCGCTCGAGCTTGTCCTCCTGACCTTCCCTGGAACCAACGTGGGGGTGAACCCAGATGCGGACAGCATCTTTTCCTTGCCCCCCGTCGACTTGAAAGGGGCAACCTCTGGGTTTAAGGCGCCTTACCCCCCCGACCGCCCCCCAGCGATTGCTCGGCCCGCAGGGTGGCGCCGCCTCCTCCGAACAACCGCCGGCAGCACTTCCAGGACAACCCCCAGGCGCGGGTTGGGGGTGGATTTGTGGGGAGGGCACTTTTTGGGGAGCACTTTGGCTTTGGGCGAGATGGTAGTTTGGAGTTCGGAATCGGGAAGGGCCCCCTGTTTTTTTTGGGAAGGCCTGACGTGCCTGTAGCAGCATCGTTGTATTGACTGCAGCACCAACCGCGCAAAGATGACGCTCACCACATCCCAACATCATTTGCAGGACAACATGTTTGGGACATTGGGAGAGGCAATCAGGAAACACAACCAGGATGCGTCTTGTTTCGGCCTCTTCGCCTTGGGGAAATCAGTGTTTTGCCAGACCGCCAAGCACGTGGAGGAGCTGAGAACCCTTAGCCCTCGCAGGCTCGGGGAGTAGAACTTGCCCATCGGAGACAGGGGCAGCATCGAAATCCCTTGTGGCTTGAGAATCTAAGGTTGCTATTGTTCACGCCAACTTGTGAAGTGATTCTGGACCGTAGACCGCTTTTTGTGAGACAGTTCATGCCACAAGCCATCCGACATGAGCGCAGAAGCTGCGCTGCCCTTTGCCCCCCTTTTTCAGGCTGCGGGACGCCAAGCGGGCGGATGCCCTTAGCCCAGGCACGGGACATGGGATGCCGCTCAGCGATTCTGCAGATACCGCCACTGAGATACCGTCAGTGGATGCAAGCTGTGGAGTGCTCACTTAGGCCGATCTTACTTTGAAGGATTTGGGCACCTGGTCTGCTACAAGCTAGATGACACAGTTGTGCACAGCGCCGGCGACTTGTTTGGATTCGTGCCACTGCCCGCTTCCTATCTGCGTGGTGAGAGCACAGTCAGTTTGCACAGACGTTTTGATAGGTGTCCAAAATCGGATCGCAAGAGTTTCCCCTTTTCTTGATCTGCTGACATGATGAATGTACCTTCTGAATGAAGCAGCTGGAAAATGTTTGTGAGTTGAGCTACCCGGATCCAGCAGCTAATCCATTGATAACTCAAAGAATAACACATGGGAGACCAACATGAACACCGAAGCCGGATTTTGTTTTGTGGGGTAAACATAAGCTTCCCCTGAGTGCAAAATGTTGTAGAGCCTTGCTGGTGCTCAGCAGGGAATGAGGGAATGCGCCGGGCGATTCCCCAAAAAAAAGCTCCAGTTGGACGGTTTAAATCCAGGTCATTCCCATTTCTCCTTCCCTGCCTATCGCACCAAGGATCTTCCCATGGTTCGTGTCCTCCGTCTTTGTTCATTCTGTTTTGCGGGGGAGAGGCTGGCCGAGTCGCCAAGTCGAAGGCCGAAACACGGCCGCCGTGGACGTCCAGCACCGCACCAGCGGGGAGATGGTGCGGGGACCAAGTGGTGGCTTGGTGGCGTGGCTTGGTTTGGTTTGGTGGCTTAGCTTGGTGGCTTGGTTTGGTGGCTTGGCTTGGTGGCGTGGCTTGGTGGCTTGGTTTGGTGGCTTGGCTTGGTGGCTTGGTTTGGTGGCTTGGCTTGGTGGCGTGGCTTGGTGGCTTGGTTTGGTGGCTTGGCTTGGTGGCTTGGTTTGGTGGCTTGGCTTGGTGGCGTGGCTTGGTGGCTTGGTTTGGTGGCTTGGTGGCTTGGTTTGGTGGCTTGGCTTGGTGGCGTGGCTTGGTGGCTTGGTGGCTTGGCTTGGTGCTTGGTGGTTTGATGGCTTGCTTGGCTTGGTGGCTTGGGCTTGGTGGCTTGTGTTGGTGGCTTGGCTTGATGGCGTGGCTTGGTGGCTTGGTTTGGTGGCTTGGCTTGGTGGCGTGGCTTGGTGGCTTGTTTTGGTGGGTGGCTTGGTGGCTTGGTGGCTTGGCTTGGTGGTGGCTTGGTGGCTTGGTTTGGTAGGTGGCTTGGTGGCTTGGTGGCTTGGCTTGGTGGGTGGCTTGGTGGTTTGATGGCTTGCTTGGCTTGGTGGCTTGGGCTTGGTGGCTTGTGTGGCTTGGCTTGATGGCGTGGCTTGGTGGCTTGGTTTGGTGGCTTGGCTTGGTGGCGTGGCTTGGTGGCTTGGGCTTGGTGGCTTGTGTTGGTGGCTTGGCTTGATGGGATGGCTTGGTGGCTTGGTTTGGTGGCTTGGTGGCTTGGTGGCTTGGCTTGGTGGTGGCTTGGTGGCTTGGTTTGGTGGGTGGCTTGGCTTGGTGAGTGGCTTGGGTGGCTTGGTGGCGTGGCTTGGTGGCTCGGTTTGGTGGCTTGGCTTGGTGGCGTGGCTTGGTGGCTTGGTTTGGTGGGTGGCTTGGTGGCTTGGTGGCTTGGCTTGGTGGTGGCTTGGTGGCCTGGTTTGGTGGGTGGCTTGGTGGCTTGGTGGCTTGGGCTTGGTGGCTTGTGTGGCTTGGCTTGATGGCGTGGCTTGGTGGCTTGTGTTGGTGGCTTGGCTTGGTGGCGTGGCTTGGTGGCTTGGGCTTGGTGGCTTGTGTTGATGGCTTGGCTTGATGGGATGGCTTGGTGGCTTGGTTTGGTGGCTTGGCTTGGTGGCGTGGCTTGGTGGCTTGGTGGCTTGGTTTGGTGGCTTGGCTTGGTGGGCTTGGCTTGGTGGGTTGGGCTTGGTGGATTGTGTTGGTGGAATGGGTTTAATGGCGTGGCTTGGTGGCTTGGTTTGGTGGCTTGGCTTGGTGGCGTGGCTTGGTGGCTTGTTTTGGTGGGTGGCTTGGTGGCTTGGTGGCTTGGTGGCTTGGTGGCTTGGTGGCTTGGCTTGGTGGTGGCTTGGTGGCTTGGTTTGGTGGGTGGCTTGGCTTGGTGAGTGGCTTGGGTGGCTTGGTGGCTTGGCTTGGCTTGGTGGGAACTTGCGCGAGCCAACTTGCGCGAGAAAGCTCGCGAGCCAACTAGCACGAGACAGCTCGCACGAGACATGTGGACACGAAAGTAATTAGATAGTCTCGTAAGGTGGCGCTGTGGGACCGAACCCACTCTGCGAAAATGACACCCTCTGCGGGCATTGGCGTGGTCGATGTGCAAAAACTTCGGGCTTTTTACGATCTCTGATTTGCGCGCGCGGCTTGGAAGGCAAGCCGACAATGGGTGCGCGTCACTCAAGATGAAGGATCTCAGCGGCTGTGTTTTCCTGGCCCGCATATTGTTCGCTTGGCTCACATGACGGAAGCCAGCCGCCAGTTTCAAGCTGTTGCGGCAAAGGCCTGCTTTGCTCACGCCTGCAGAGATGCCTAAGATCCCGCGCCTCCACCATCAAACGCTCCGTCTTGCCCATGGAAGATCCCGCGCAAGACTTGAAGTTCTCGTCGTGGACTACGTGTGCGTGCTGCCAGCAGCTGCTCGTGAGACGCCAGGAAGTGCATCCAGCCACTCCACATCTTCAACATGGCGGATGGGCAGCCGCAGCTCATTGTGAACAAGGAGGATGCCACCTCATGCGCGCCGCTGGACGAAACACCGGCAAAGGTCAAGTGCTCGTCCACGCGTCACCGATCCGGAAAGGAGCACCTCATGGATAAAAGGCGCTGCCTGCAAAAGTGCCTGAGCGTCGCGGGCTGTGCGGGCTTGGGGCGCGCGCAGGCAGCTAGCAGCCAGCCTTCGTGTTTGATGTCTGAGTCGCGGCGCAAAACAGAAACAGCGGGCCCCCTTCCGCATCGGCTTCATTTGCTTGCGAGCAACATGATTTTCTTTCACAGCCTGATTTTGAGAAGTGACATTGTGTGACACCTTGCTCATGGAGGCCACCTTTCTGTATATCTTAGTTCCTTCAAGGTGAGAAACACTCATCGCGTTCAGATGGTGAGCCTCGCTTGGACTACTGACAGCTTCCACTTGAATTGAAGCCTGCTTGCAAGCTCGAGCTTGGTTTGACATGTCAATTAGGGAGCCCCGCCAGACTGGAGAGCATACTTCGGAAAGCGTAGGGTCTCCCACACGTCAGCCGCCGGTCAGCCGCCAGTGTGCAACAGCTTGTCAGCGCGTGTGACTGCGTGCAGAAAGCATCATACATCCAACTTAAAGAGCCAGAGCATCGCCGCGGGCTCTCTCCAACATTTTGAGTGCCAACATCTTCAGTGCCCGCAGAGAGTAGTCGCGGTCTCTCCACGGCCGCAAGGAAGGTCTTGCCGAAGAAGGTCAACGGCGGTCATGCCGTGCAAACATTGCAAGGCTCTGCCCCTGAAAAGGGAAGCAAACACACACATGAAACCAACGCTCACTTTCCATTATGCTTCCAGGCCATCCGTGGTTCTAGTCGGAGCCCAGGTGTTTATACCCTTTCTTAAACTGGATGACGGCATTTTTTGAGGGTGCCCGCAAAAATTGGGGCTGAAGGGAAGCCAGCTCCCATTTTGAGACACAGAGAAAAAAGATCTAGCTTGGAAATTGGACCGGAGTCAAAGGTAGTTGTTTGGCGTGGGGGGGGGGCAAGAGCTGAGGCTCACGTGGGAACTAACAGAAAGTTCCTTTATTTGCTGGACAGGGATAGGCGCTTTTTGGAGCGCAAAGGGTCAAATCAAGTTTGCGGGCCATTCATCTCTTGGCCGCGATGCCGGAAGCCGACTGGAAGGTTTAGGCCAGGATGAGCGCCCGTCCACCGTTTGTTTCGAGCACCCGAAATTTGCAACACTGAACACCATCCATCATTTTCAACTGCAGTCATTGGCCACATGCTGGTTTGCCTGGGAATGATTACATTATACCGACATGCGGGGTAAAGCGAGCTCACTCATGAAGCTCCCTTACCCGTTTTTTGTTTCCCTTTTTTTTTCCTTTCTTTTTTTTCCCCCCCTTTTTTCTCGGCATGTGAGTTATCGTCATTTGCCAAGACGGCATGCAACAATGACATGCCTTGGCGTCTTCTCTGGGACCTGCCTAGGCCGCCGCTGTCCAGCCAGACTTCACCTCACCAGTGGCCGCAGCGGCGGAGGTGGGGGTGACAGGTGGCGAGAAGCACTGTGGTTCGTCTTTTTTGGTGAATGTGTGGAACATACGGCCCCCAAATGGTTCGCTTCACTCTAATTCCATCTCAAATCTGGCATTCCAAGAATCCATGGAATCCGGCGGGTGAGGGGTGGGGCGGGGTGGGGGTCGGTGGATAGTGCACTCGATCAAGAACCCTACTTTTGCCCGGCGAACTTGGCTAGGCACCCGAGGCTTGGCCGAAACAAGCCACGATCCCATCTCGTAATCAAACACGCCCCTCTCCGGCTCAAGCAATTCTCAAACCATCATGCATTAGACGTGGTAAGAATAGAGGCTAAGAAGTTCCGTTCGGACATGGCAGTACAACCAACTCCATTTTGAATTGCCAGAGCTGTTGTCACGTCTTTTGGCCACCGCCAGCTTCTCACCGGCCGAATAGATACAGCAAGACTGCGCCATGAAGGTGGATGTTCACTTGCCCAGTGGAGACTGCTTCTCCGTGGCAGTCTCACCGTCGACCCTCATCAGCGAGCTGAAGGCTGCAGCGCAGAAGCATTTCCAGCGCCGCTTGAATCTCACTGCAAAAGGCCGGCAGATCGATTTGCTGGCCACGCTGAGCGAGGCCGGTTTGCGAGATGGGGACGTGGTGACTGCTGTTGTTCAGCTTGGCAAACTGGCAGCCAATTCGAAGGCGTTTGCTTTGCATGGCCACGGGGGCGAAGTTGTGACCTGGGGTGATCCACAATGTGGCGGAGACAGCAGCCAGGTTCAAGAGCCGCTAAACAAGGCCCAGCGCATCCAAGCAACTTATGGTGCTTTTGCTGCCATTCTTGAATCTGGGGCTGTTGCGACCCAGGGAGATCCAAGATATGGCGGAGCCAACAGCCAAGTGCAAGAGCAGCTGAAGAATGTGCAGAAAATCCAAGCAACTTTGAATGGCGCTTTTGCGGCTATTCTTGAATCGGGGGCTGTTGTGACCTGGGGAGATTCCAGAGCCGGCGGAGACAGCAGCCAGGTGCAAGAACAGCTGGCGAAAGTCCAGCACATCCAAGCAACAGACGGTGCCTTTGCTGCCATTCTTGAATCTGGGGCTGTTGTGACCTGGGGCAATCCAGAAGATGGGGCAGACAGCAGCCAGGTACAAGAGCAGCTGAGGAGCGTCCGGCAAATCCAAGCAACTATGGATGGCTTTGCTGCGATTCTTGAATCTGGGGCTGTTGTGACCTGGGGTACAGACTTCGGCGGAGACAGCAGTAGGGTGCAAGCGCAGCTGAGGAACGTCCAGCACATCCAAGCAACTGCTCGTGCTTTTGCTGCCATTCTTGAATCTGGGGCTGTTGTGACCTGGGGTAATCCACGCTTTGGCGGAGACAGCAGCCAGGTGCAAGAGCAGCTGAAGAATGTCCAGCACATCCAAGCAGCCCGCCATGCTTTTGCGGCTATTCTTGAATCTGGGGCTGTTGTGACGTGGGGTACTCCGAGAGATGGCGGAGACAGCAGCCACGTGCAAGAGCAGCTGAGGAATGTCCAGCACATCCAAGCAACTTGTGGTGCTTTTGCTGCCATTCTTGAATCTGGGGCTGTTGTGACCTGGGGTAATCCACGCTTTGGCGGAGACAGCAGCCAGGTGCAAGCGCGGCTGAGGAACGTCCGGCAAATCCAAGCAACTGAGACAGCTTTTGCTGCCATTCTTGAATCTGGTGCTGTTGTGACCTGGGGTGATCCAGGTAGGGGCGGAGACAGCAGCCGGGTACAAGAGCAGCTGAGCAACGTGCAGTGCATCCAAGCAACTGCTCGTGCTTTTGCTGCCATTCTTGAATCTGGGGCTGTTGTGACCTGGGGAGATTCCAGGGCCG